ATTTGGGTTTAAATAATGACCACTTCATATTTCAAAGCTTTGATTTTTTAGTCCTTGCATCAGTTTTTCTTTTTCTGAAATCCAGTAAATTATATTTCAAAGTTGGCTTTCTCTAGACATTCATAACTAAGTACATTGTATTAAATATGCACGCTGTGAACATGAGCATAGCCTTGAAAGCATTACATTCAGGCATATTATAATTATTTAATGAATACTGACAGAACCAAGAATTTTTAAAGGCACACTTACAATTTTAGATTCAGTGCATTTCTGTCCACTGATGACAATTTGCTTTTATGGTGTCAGTGAAGCCATAGGCCTGTGTGCTGCAAATATATTTGCAGCACAGAGTACACATAATCTTATCTTGCAAACATAATGATACTTATTTTCATGTGCCTTATATATATATATCTTTTCTTTCCCTAATGGACAACGCTCATAATGTGAGCTCGGTACCATTCCTTTGGGCTGGCTGGATCGCTCAGTAAGTTGGTTACCTGGCTATGTAACCAGAGGTTGGGAATTTGATCTCTCTCCCCCCTCTCCCCGTGCCTCCTGAGAGAAGAGCCAGCGTGTCTAGCCTTGGATAGATTGCACAGTCTCAGGGCACACGTAGAAGAAGGGACTGATAAACCACATCTGAGTAGTTTATATTCAGAAAACCCTGAGAAGGGTTGCCATAAGGACTTGATGGTGTATAACTAATTACATTACTATTCCTCTGACACTTTTTAGGTAACAAAAAAGAAGCAGTTTGGAAACCATCAGGAATTTATGCTGCAGAGGTCCTGACTATCTGATGTTAGGCTGAGAGAGTATGTTTTTCACATCGGTAAATTCTTAATAAAAAGAGGAGTAGGGTAGTAAAGGATTCTTCAGCTATGGAAATGGGTACACCGCCTATTTTGTGGAAATGAAAACAAAATAAATCTTACAGTGTCTTCCTTTTATGGATAGAAATATTATGCATTAATATTATTATCATCACTTGGGATCGAGAAACCCATAGACGGAAAATGGTCTTGGCAAACCTTTGCAAATGTGTGCTCAGTTTCGATGGCACCTCAGCTATGTGATGGTTACTTTTCCTACTGAGCTAAGCAATTTAAGTAAGAAATGAAATGACCCATGAGAATGTCATTTCATTGTTGTTATTTCTTAATTTATGATATGAAGGCCCATTTAAAATTTCAGAGAATCACTTTTTTTATAATCAGCCTCAACATCCCATCTGCTTCACATCAAACCTAGGACCTTCTCACAACCACGACCTCCCAGTCATTATATGTAATGATGCCGAGGGGCAGGATATTCCCCATCTCCAGCAGACCCCTGACCCCATTTCAGTTGTCCTTCAGCAAAAAAGCAAAATTATGAAAGGTAAGAAACCTGTGACTGTTTGCCACTTAAAACATTCAAAACTGTCTGCAAGAATTAAAATATTTTTCTTTAAGCAGACTGTAGATTGAAATGATTTCCTTATGATATACAAATCTTCCATAGAAAGAAGTGTAGAAAGAAGTGCTTCAGGTACCATGTACTGGTTCAAGACATTTATAATTCAGAGGATTAGTTAAGAAATCTTAAATTATTAACAGTTGTACCTTCTAACCTTACTCTTGCACAATTTAATGGTTGTTCGTTGAAAAATTGAGGCACAATACAATTAATGTTCAGGAATAGGAGACATATTCAGTACTGAAAAACAAATCAGTACCATCACATACTCCAATTTGCTGTCAGAAATTCTTAGGGCTGGAAAGTTAATGAAACAGTAGAAACTTGTCTTTTCAAAGTTTGAATGAGGCCTATTTCCTTCAGGCTCTGGTGTGTGTGACATGCAGCCTAGTTTCGTGAGGCTTTTGTTCAGCTTGTGGGACATCAATAAGCTCTAATATTTAATTGGCAATTTGAAAATATATGGGACTTTGTTATAAATTAGGTACATACACTCATCTGTGTTTAGATCAAAAACGCAAAGTATGTAGTTCCTCTTTTATCCTCACAGAAACATTACAGGAAAGGTTAGGTTGAAATAGTATGAGGAATATTTCAGCATAAGCCAGTAAATTTCATGACTGAATTGGGGATAGCCCTTTACTGGTATTCTGTTCACTGCACCACACTGAATCTGGAGTCTTGATCAAAACACATTTTTTTCATGACATTATGCTTTTTATTCTAGTCTTCATAATTTTCAAAATCTCTCATATTTTCAGGGAAAAATATATTATTATGGATCTCTTTTAGCTGGAATGTAAATTCAATCTGTTTATTATTCAAGTTGGAAGAATGCCATGGAGCTTCTCTCTCTCTCTCTCTCTCTCTCTCTCTCTCTCTCTCTCTCTCTCTCACACACACACACACACACACACACACACAAAGACCCTCCCACCCACCAGAAGATCTAACATTGAAGAATTATCAGATTCATGCTTATGCAATCTTTACTTATAATAATCATCCCTCTAGAAGAAAAGTATTGTTCACTGGACCTCTAGCTGACGTGAAAAGTGAGAATTGTGTTCCAGAGGCTCCTTTAATACATCCAATGTGTAACTCAGTTTATCTCAATAATGTTTAAAACTCTACAAAGTGGGTCAGTATTATTATTTTCTTAATTGCAAACAAGGGACTAAAGTCTACAAAAATGAGTCATATCTCGCAAGTCTTCTTGCATAATAGCAAGAAGTATTGAGCTGGGGGCTTTCTTATAAAAACAGTTAGTTGACTTTCATAGTGTGCTGTTGGTCCTTCAGATGTTTAGGACTACAGTTCCTCTCAATCCCAGCCAACAAGCTAAATAATCAGGTATTACAGTAGTCATAATGTCTGGAGGGTATCACATTTCAGAAGCTGCAAAAACTGTCTACGTCTGTAGAACAGTAGTGACATGGCACTTGTCCATATTGTTTTCATATACAGCATGAGGCTTAGAATTTCTTTTTTTTTTCATACTGTCATAGTAGCTAGGTCATATTTCATGACATCCTCCTCTTTATTAAACTATTAATCCACTGTAGAATATGTAGTATGTTGAAGGTTACATAACAGACATGGAGTCGTTGTTTAGTCGTATCTGACTCTTTGTGACCCCATGGATCAGAGCACACCAGGCCCTCCTATCTTCCACTGCCTCCTGGAGTTGTGTCAAATTCATGTTGGTTGCTTTGATGACATTGTCCAACCATCTCATCCTGTCTTCCCCTTCTCCTCTTGCCTCCACACTTTCCCAACATCAAGGTCTTTTCCAAGGAGTCTTCTCTTCTCATGAGATGGCCAAAGTACTGGAACCTCAGCTTCAGGATCTGTCTTTCCAGTGAGCACTCAGGGTTGATTTCCTTCAAAATGGATAGGTTTGTTCTCCTTGCCCTCCAGGGGGCTCTCAAGAGCCTCCTCCAGCACCCCAATTCAAAAGCATCAATTCTTCGGCAGTCAGCTTTCTTTATGGTCCAGCTCACACGTCCATACATCACTATAGGAAAAACCATAACTTTGACTATTCGGACATGGAGTACCAGTTGTTTAAAACCGAAACATCTTCACAGACTACACTAAATAAATAGTGGCATATATTATTGAAACCTGCATTACGTAGCCTGTGTTCATACATGGAAATAATGTAGAGAAATGTTAGAAATGTCCTGCCTCATTGTAGCAGACTGAAATGCTTGCCTTTATAATGCTGTTAGTGGCAATGTTTACAAATAATATCAATTCAATACTATTATAAAGATGCTGTTGTATTGTAACTTGAACAGCTCTCCTTTGGTTTTAAAATGCTTCTGAAAAATTATCTATTAGATTTTAGAAATTTAATACAGCAATGGTATTTTGAGTAAGAAAGCAGAAGAGTGAGTTTCCTGTACAAAAGTGCTCTCAGAAGCAATGTAATTTTAAAAAAAGTGAAACAAACAATATATTTAGTCTTTTAAACTTTAATATTTTTTCATTGTATCCTGACTATATAAAGTATCTTACAGTGGTCTCTTCTGATAAGAAAACAAGTAATATTTACATGGATTGTTTCCGAATAATTTCAAAACAAAGATCTGTGTTACTGTTGCTTTATGGGAATTATGTGAACTTAGAAAATATTGTCCCTGTAGTATGAAAATAGCAAGTAATATAAAATTACTGCAGCATTTATTGGGTAGAAATGGAGTCCAAGCATTAAGTAAATGAGTGATTGGGACACATGATAATTGCTAATTAATTTAACAGCAAATTAAAAATATGCCAGATTGGAGAACGACGGTTACATTTATTTTTGGATGTTGTACCTGCTTTTATATGAGATCCCCACTAAAGTGGAACTACCGTTGCTTTACATCTCAGTTACATATTGTACTTGGCTACAGATTTTAATCTCTCCTCCATAAAATTCTAAATTATGCCTGAGTGATCCTAGGGGTAATACAATATGATACATTTTACACACTTGCAAAGAACATTTTATTACAAGTTACATAGTATGGTACGATAACACAATTTTGAGCAAGAGTATGTATTTTACCTTTTGAAAGAGGAAATGTAAAATTAAAATTTGCAAGCGTTTTAGGAAAATACTCTGTTCATATATAGAATGCTAAGTTTCATTTTTCAGCTTCAAAATGGTTTCTGAGTACAACTGTCTTTTCTAGTTCTGATGCCTGTATAAAGGTAGCTTGCGTATTACTTGACAACAAGCAAAATATGTCTTCAGAGAGTTGTATGTAAAAGGAAGCCCATGAAAATATGGACTATTTCTTGAAAGCCACAGATCATATCCTATGAATCTCAAAGAGCTGTACGTTTATAATATGTATAGTTGATGTATGCAATTTTTAATACTGGTTCAGATTTTAAAAACCCAATCATGATATGAGTTGTAAAACAGAAGAACATAAACATACATCCTAGATAGTATACACTTTTATGTTATGTATTTTCCAAAAACCAGCCTTTTCCAAACTATCAACCTGAGAGTGAATTTGATGATTTGTTGACTGAGTTGGGTGGGGAAAAGGAATGGTGAAGTACTGAAGCAAAACTGTGAAAACCCACATACACGTGTATAACTCTTAAGCATGTACACTAATAACTTGTATGATAGTGTCCAATACACTTTATCTTTTGGGCTGATCCAGTTTGTGAGAAACTGCATTTACATACGTGGGGTCTTGCTTATTATCATGGAATATTAGCTCCCTACATTATATTTTTTAGACTTGGGAAAAATTTTAAAAGCAGCTTGTGGTGTAGAATTGGATATTGCTATCTGCAAAAGTAAACAAAACTCCAACTATACATATGGAAACATCCCACTTGCACGTCTCTGGATTGTGGTGTGGTCATGATCATTGGAGAGGTAGTGCATGTGGTCATAGGAACTGAGCTGCTTGTCTAATGTTTTACATTATCACAATAAATCAGTCTAATCTACATATGTTTATGTTTAAGATTTTGTCTTGTTTTTCAAAAAAATAATATATTTAATGTTCAGGTATTTGGGACTCTAAGATATTCATGGTGGGATCACTTGTAAACAGGTTTTGAACTTTAATTAAAAACATTATAAAAAACATTACACTGTCTTCCTCCTCCCCCACAACATAAAACAATTGCACTTTCCTTCATGGCAGAATAATGCCTTTCTCATTCTTCAGCTTTCACACAGAAAAATAAACGATTTTTTAAAATTCTGTTTGCTTATGTACAGTGATCTGTAGCCCTCTTTTAATTTTGCTAAAAAGATGTGTTTTTTTTGTTAAAGCATAAACAGGAAGTGAGTGTTTTGAAGTTGACCGTAACAATCACGTATATCACACTTTCATAAGCTACTAACTCAAATATATTTTTCTTCCCAGAAAACAACCAAATTATTTGCCTGGGGGACCATATAAAATTAATAATACACAAATTAACAAGTCTAATTAATAAGCAGAGTATAATATGTTTACACATTCATGTATGTTTTTGGTGGACGTTCTACCAATAACATTTCCTCTCCCTTACTACCCCTTCACAATACTAAAAAATAAAACAAAAACCTTCTGTAATGTTTCAAGATGTAAAAACTGTAGGCTAGATACCTTTCACATACTCTCTTGGAATCCAAAGTAGAACAGATCAAAGATTCTTGCTTAACAGAAACATTTCCAAACAAAGCAATTATATTGTTTGTTTCCTGCAAAGGAAATAATTCAGAGTACAGTCCATCCAAAATCACATCGTTTCAAATCTCAGTTATTTAGCTGCAAGAGTTAAGCAAATGCTCAACATTTTCTCATTGAACTTGGCGGGAATTGTTTAACTGTGGCTGGCCCAGTTAGAACTGATGGCATACTTTAAATGTTACCATTAAAACTGTATGGTTACACAGCATTTTCATTTAGCATTCTGATTTGTTAATATGAAACATTCCATTAGGTGATGATTAGGATAGTTGGATACTTTATAGCGCAACTAAATAAAACCATCAGGCTCCTGTGAACTCTTAAAAAGCACGACACATTATAAAATGTCTGGCACAGTGTGTCAATAGTGTATTGTGTTTCCTCAAGACTGGATTACAAAAGAGTATTAAATTATGGCAGCTGCCAGTGTTTTGTTATTTTAATGTCACCACTCTTTGCTTCTCCCATCCCAAAATATGGTGCCAGAACATAGAATTTTAGCTGTTGGGTACCAACAGATTTTAAAAAATGGTATCTAAGAGAGCTTAATGCTCCTAGCTTTGACCCTGTCAACTTCCAGCAATTAAAAGGCATGTCCAGTCTCTGGGTGCCTTTTGGCTGCTAACTGTTTTAAGTGAGCAGTTATTCTGGCAATGAATATGACACTAAATTAAAGGTGCCAGCATTTCACTGAGATGCAGTTGCTTGGCTTAATGCTACAGCACATAAAGGCAAGTATACACATAGTCACATCTTTAAGAGAATTCATGGTCTCAGACCACTTGAAAATATTGTGCTTTCCTCAAGATATTTATGTGCTGAAAATGGCATTACACAACCCCAGCATATTTGGAGGATTAAATGTATGATGAAGGCAGTGGGGGAAAGGCTTGCTGTTTTTCTTCACCAAAATTAAAACAAATGTTACTGGACTATATATTCAGGTATAAACAAGATGGTAATCTGACACTACAATGCTGCGTGTGTTTTAAATGATTGTGGATTAAGGAATTTTGGGGGAAATCACCTTTATTCACTTGGATTTCTATCCTGAATGTTTAATTCTTTTGCATCCCACACTGGTGAAATTTGAATAAAACATTGGCAAGGTGTACATGTAACGCCTTGCTCCTGAACATTAGTTCAAAGGTACAAAGGCCTTTTTTGGTACATATGGTGAGAACAGAATACTTCCTCAGTGTTATCAAAGAAACTCTTGCTGATGGTCACTTGCTCGTATTACCAAGATCCCCTTTTAAAAAAAATCCACAACCTTGTATGTGGATGTGTTTTTGAAGAAGGCCTTAAATTCCATATGTTACGGATTTAGCTAAAGAAACCAGAGTTTCCATCTTCCGTGCTTTTTTGATTCAGTTTTGGATTTTTGCTTGGGAGTTGAGGAGTAACTCTCCTGGGAATAAGGCAAAGGTGCAACCTGAGTTTCCTCAATGGGATGAAGTTTTCTCAGAACTGGCTGTAGTTTGTCTTCTTGCTGCTTAAAATCTAATTCCACACTAAACAGTGAAGGGGGGGAAAAAAAGAAGAAAAGCATAATCAGTTGCCAATATAATGGTTTTACTTAAGTCAACACTGAAAGTAAATGTGACAGATTATAGAAAATGAAATGTGCATTCTTTCAATTAATTGCACTGGCAGGGTAGCATTACTGGATGGTTCACATGGAGTATGAAACACAGCACATCTAGCAAATACATCAACAGTAGAAACAGTAGAAAAGCTCATAGTTTCAGATATATTTAATTTCTGTCCCACCTTTCTCATAAGATTAAACAGGTAGAGTTGAAAAGGCAGTAAGCTGTAACAGTAAACACACTATTAACTAAGTTATCAATTAAATATGCACTAAGTTAAATTATTTAAATACCAGTTAAAAACACAACAGGAAAGACAGAAAAAAATGTGCAGTATCCTCTTTAAAAGATCCTTTCTCAATAGCCAGTAAGTAACTAAAAACCTATTTAAAGAAGAAGGTTTTTGCCTCCCAGTAGAGGAAAACAGGAGGGAAGGCCACCTAGCCTTTCTTGGAACGAGTTCCACAACATTGAAGCAACCACTGAGAAGGCCCTCATTCAAGTTCTCACTGGACTTTCCATAGTGTATATGTGGCCCAACCCTAGGAAATATTTTCCCTCCAAGATCTCAAGACTGGAACTGTTATATGTAAGACTTGATACTTTAGATGTGCGATTCCAAGCCTTATAAGGATTTAACTGGCACTTTGAATTATGACCAAAAATTGTCCAGAATCCAATGAAGATGTTCTAACAAGAGATTTCTGTTCTACTTGAAGCAATTTCTTGTCAGCAACTTCTAATATTTTCCAAATGCATCTGCATTATATTAGCTCCAAATAGATGTGACTAAGATGTGTGTCACCACAGCTAGATCAAACACTGCCAGGAACTGGTGTACAGTACTAGTGTTAACTGTGCAAACACACTCCTCTGGCCAATGTTGAAACCTGGGCATTCAGGCTCTTGTCTGAATCCAGTACTCCATTCAAACTGCAAACATGGGACTTCAGAGGAAGCATCAACTCTTCCAAATAGGTTGAACCACTGTTTCTTAATCTGCCTTTTGAATCCCAGGAGGATCTTTGTCTTCTCTGGATTAAAATTCAAATGAGCTCACCTTCAGCCGCCTAGAGTGGTCATATTGACCAGATAGGTGGGGTACAAATACAGTGGGGTCTTGACTTACAAATGACCCTACTTGCGAACAATTCAACTTACGAACCTGCCCTATAGGGGAAATAAGGACTTGACATACGTACTTCCCTGGAGTTATGAACAGGAAAAAAAGTGCCCCCTCTCTCCCCTTAGAGGCTTCTGGAGGGGAAAAAAGGGTCAGAAATAAATAAATAAAAAAGAAAGTCACTTACCAGGCCTTAGTAGCCCCCAAACAGCAGGAAAAAGAGCAGGAAGCAGCTAAAAGCCGACACCCAGAAGGGAGCCTGGCAGCCATTTTGTGATTTTCCCCCACTCCTGCCCCCTCCTCTCCCCGCCTATCAGCTGATGGGCTGGCTCTGAAGAGGCTTGGGGAGGATTGCTCAGCACCTAAAAAGCCTGCCTGTGTGTCTTTGTGCTGAAAAAATCAGCACAACATGCTTTAAAACATGATTTAAAATTGGCTTCCTTGAAAAAAAAGATTTCTAAAGTGCTTTGCAAACTGTTTCCTGCCTTCCTCCTCGTTTCCTGAATCAAAGGGAAAAAATAAAAAAATATCCCCCTCTAGTGGCAGAAGGCGGAATAGCAGCTTCTCATTAGTTTCTATGGAAGGAAAAGAGCAGATACGGATTAAATGGTTTTCAGTGCATTCCTATGGGAAATGCAGATTCGACCTACGAACCTTTCGACCTAAGAACCACCTTCCAATACGGATTAAGTTCGTAAGTCGAGACCCCACTGTAGAATGAATGAATGAATGAATGAATGAATAAATAAATTCATCACTGACATCAGGCACCTATTTACCACCATAGGAACTTATAATGTTGGACCATTGGTGATTCCAAACCATGCTGTCTAGAAGACTGAGTAACAGTGGGCTACCTGGGTTTTAAACAGCAGTTTTCACCAACCCTATCTGGCAATGCCAGAAACAGAAGTAGAAACTTCTTGCACATGATCTAACACTGAACTTCTCCCCATCCCGTACTCGTGCATAAAATGTGACATCAAGTTCCAAAATGAATTTTTCATTGGCTGATTTGACATGGAATGATCCAGAACAACCACCATCGCAATGTTAGAAGAAGCATTGGAGTAATGATATAAAACTCCTACCAGTAATGGAACTGTAACATCAAACAGTGGTTAGAATCCTGTTGAAAAATTATACCACAGAATTCCATCACTGTGAATTTCAACTCTGAATTGCTTCAAGTAGTCAGAGTAGGTATCTACTGCTGTGCACTGAGTTGTGCAACTGGTAGTCCTAGTTATATTCAGGCCTGTATTCAACAAGCACAGAGTCTTCAATCTTGATATGTTCCAGCTGCCATTTCTATATGAAGGGTGTCTTAATGAAGAAGCAAGTATGAATACAGGAAAATTAGGGCCTCAAAACATGAAGTGACCCTCCAGAGAGAAGTTTCATTTTTTCAGAAAATTGCCCTCTGTACATAGAGAGTAATGGAAACACAAGAAGAGGAGGACTAAGTGGTATGCTTTTCCTTCTGTTTTTTTTCTTTACAAACAGATAACTTTTAAATCTGAATGAGGTTAATGAGGTATCTATAGTGTGTTTCAGCTTCAGTTATTTCTCAACTGATCCTCAATTACCTCTTGTGAATATATTTGCTACTACCTAGAGATAACTGTATCAGTTCCAAAAAGCATGGGTTAATTAGTTATGAGGAATCCTTACAGAACTGACTTTATAAATATGAATAGGATTAGGACTGCAGGGTTCTGATAGCAGTATACATCCATCCATCCATCCATCCAAGCATTCACATGATTCTGAGTATTTTGAAAATATCTACCAAACTTTACAAATATATTGAGATAATGTTCTCGTTGTTATAACTGGAAAAACCTAAAGTTGGAACTCAGGAAATCATAAAGAGAAAACTATTCAGATTTCTGCAGAACATTGTTACTAAGGTAAAGGTTTCCCTTGACAATCTGTCCAGTCATGTCCAACTCTAGGGGGCGGTGCTCATCCCTGTTTCCAAGCTGTGGAGCCAGCGTTTGTCTGAAGAAAGTTTCCATGGTCATGTGGCCAGTGTGACTAGACATGGAATGCTGTTACCTTTCCACCACGGTGGTACCTATTTATCTATTCATATTTTTACATGCTTTCAAACTGCTAGGTTAGCAGAAGATGTTATGTTACTAAACAGACCTTCAAAACATAAGAATTGCAAAAGAGAATTCAATTCAAATCTGAAGGTTTAAAATTGGCACATGAAAGTGAAGTCAAGCTCATAAAATATGCATCTTAAATTTTAGGTTATGTGGAGTGGACCTGCAGTGAAGGGAGGAGAAAATGGTTCAGGAGAAATTATAGCTCAGAGATCAACAAACAATGGTAAAACATTCCAGATTTAATTTATAAAAACAAAGAGGCATGATTTCAAAGTAATAGGAAAAGGTAATTAGAAATGGTGATAGACAGCAATGAGTGAAGGAATATAATTCAAAAAGCACGCATTTTGGTATGATTTTCTCATGGTAACATGAAGTAGATTAGTTCTAAGGATGCAAGAATAATGATGGAAAGGCAAGGTGGACGTTGGGTATGGCTCCTTCCCTCTCCATGAAAACAAAAAACAAAAAACCACAACTGGCCAGTATCCTGTTCTGTAGTTCTAACAGTGCACTGAGAATGATGTCACTGTTAGCAACAGATTTCCACTAATTACACCATTCCTGTTTCAATTTCAGGTTGCATGTGACTCAACATGCAATGCAGTGAAGTTGTATGCAACCTGAAAATGAGGCAGGAATTCTTTAATTAACAACAACCTGCTGCCTCTGGTTATTTCCATGCCATTGTTCCAGTGGAGATATGGAACAGGATACTGGGCAAAGTAAAAAAAAAAATACTTGTAAATCTGAAGTGTTTAATTGCTCATATGCAGAGGCACTCTCACATGACAAAATGATGGGAGGGGTAGAAACAGATAAAATTAGAATCGAACAAGTAACCACTCATTTCTCACCACTGCATGATCCCTATACAAAATTGAGCAAGGACACTTGTTCTGACAAGAGTCATATTTAACTACATATATTTTAGAATTTTGTAGAAATATAGGAAATATTTAGTTTTATTTAATAGTTTTATTTATATGACATATTTCTCCCCACACGTGCGACACACCCACCCGTGAGCATGACACGCCCCTCTGCAAGTATGACATGCCTGCCATGCAGGTGAAGGGAGAGGAGATCTGTCTCTGTGGCCCAGATCCAGGAAGCCCACGGACCGGCACCACGCCACGGACCAGGGGTTGGGGACCCCTGTTCTAGAAGGTTGGTCTTTCAAACCACTGTGGAATGGGGCATGCTTGAAGGCAGCTTTGGTTTGTATGATAATTAAGGAAGTCAGTCTGCCTCCTTCGAACAGCCAGGTGAGAAATGCAACCTGCTGGCCACAGGTTGCCTAGCTGAGTTTTAAAGTATTAGTTCACTTTTCAGCAGCATGAGCTGCTCTTTATTTTGCTTTCCGAAAATTTTACTCTTAATCTGATTTATATCACTGGATGGCACAAGTGACAAGTGAAAGATGCAGACACTAGGAACTTGGCAGCTATAGTACTTTGGCCAAGTGTAAGGAGTCTGTAGGATTCGTGGTATCATTCTCAAAACTTCCCTTTAATATAATGACCAGCTGATTTTAAACCTTTATGGTGAGTTCTCTTGAATTGTAAAAACTATTAACAGAACATTATATTTCAAAATTTCAGCTGTTTTCAAGTTCCAAGTATTTGTCTCTTCTTTTATGTTTCTAAACTAGGAACCTTATTGCACCCTGGGCATGGATT